CCACGCGGGGTGCTGGGGATATAACATCTCACTGAACCCTCCCAACTGCTCTATGAAGCAACTGAGGCTCAATGAGGTGAGGCCACTTGCCCAGGGTCATGTAGCAGGAGAGGGACAGAGCTGGACTCCATCCAGGTCTATCTGACCTGGTCTATGCATCTACCCAGCCCTCAGGAAGTGGTTCAGCAAAGCCCTAAGCAAGCATGGCAGGTGGGTGGCCCAGAACCGAACCCTCTCAGGTAGGGACCCTCTTTTTTACTTGATGGGTCCACTGTTACTTGGGAAGCTGTTTCAATAGGTGCTATGAAGACAGAAAGGGCCTGAGGGCAGAGACCTGGGTTCAAATCCCAGCTCTGCCACTTAGGGACTCCAGAAGGTATTTTCGTTCAACCATCGATTCTCATTCTTGGCTGCACATAAGAATCTTGTGCATGGGTCCCACTTAGACCAACCGAGCCAGAATGCCTGTGGTGGGGCCCAGGCTCCGCAGCTGGTTCTAATGCACAGGGAAGCTGGGAACCACTGCTGTAGACACGACATTCCATGAAGTCCCCGATGATCTCATTTGCATTTAACACCAGTGTCAGCACAGGGCCTGGGATCCAGGTGCACATTTGCTGAATGACTGGAAGAGTGAATGAGTGAATGAATGAATGAATGAGACCTTTCAGGGCCTTGGTTTTCTCTGCTGTAAAATGGCATAATACTGTCTTAACTCCTGGAGGCTATTGCGAGGAAACAACATGATAAGCGACAGTAACTCTCTGCCACCTTTAATTTGCCCCACTATTTAACTTGGGAAGCCACCCCAACCCAAACTCCCTCCTCCTGCCTTGCTTCCTCCACAGCTTCTTCCATCATCTAACATACCTCATATTTTAACTCTTTTTCTTTTTATTATCTGTCTTCCCCCTGAGAATGCAGGTGAGCAAAGGAGATGCTGACTTCACCTCTTACCTACTGATGTCCCCTCGCCTGCAAGACTCCCCACATGAGATGCAGAAAAGCCACACACGAGGATCAGGATCAAATGGCCACTGCTGGCACCAAAGACGCTTGTGCAAGGAAAGATTGCTTACAAACAATGACAATTCCAGGTACATTCGACCCCAGCTGTCCTCCTCCCTGATTCCCACCACTGCTCAGGGGACCCCGGCTTGGGACCTGAGCTCTCCCATGCTCTGCCCACCACCCTCTGTGAGCAGGTGACACCAGCCTGCCATTGACCAAACTTCTCTGTGTTTGCCTGGGCCGGGGTACAAGGGACTGTGTGTAAATGGCTTTGCCAAATAGTTTCCCAACCACACAGAGGCTCGTCCTTAATTTAGGAAAGAGGCTTCTCCCTTGTCAGGTGAGCTGGTCCTTCTTGGTGGGGGCTCTTGGCCCACCTGGCCATCTGCTAAGAGCAGGGAGCCCGGGAACCTCAGGCAGCAGCCAGTCCAGTTTGTTTCCTCATCTCCTGCAACTTCTACTAGATTCCCACCCCTGTGCAGAGTGAGACCACCACTGGCTGCTTTATAAGCCGGGATTAGAAGCAGACTTTTCCACTTACACCTCATCCAACAGAAAGTGCTGGAGCCCAAAGGGAAAGTGAGTGGGGAGCGGGAGTCCTGTGTTCTCTGGGCCAGAAAATACCACATTTCCCCTGCTCACAGAACAGCCATGCACTCTTGTCTAGGTCTGACCTCTTCAGATTTGCAGTACTGCCTGCTCTGGCCATGGAGGGTGGAGGAAAAGGGGACACTGGGGACGTGATGCTCCAAGTCCCCTGTGCCCCCAGGACCCTTGGAAAAAGGACAGATGGAGCCAGGAGACACCACAGCTATCCAGATGAGAACCAGATGGCCCAGAGAGGGCAGCCGTGGCCACGGCTGAAAGCCAGGATGGAAGTAAGACATGGCCCTAGGCTGGTGTATCTACTGGAAAATGGGTGATTCTCCTATAAAGAGCAGTTCTTTGGCCTGCATCAGCACCCCCTTGACTTCGCCTTGGAGGTGCTGGGGAAGTGCTCTTGGAGAAGATGGTATTTAGAACTGAGTCCAGGGACAGTCACCTCATAATGACTGTGGGAGAGAGAGTGTGCTGGGAGATGGCAAAGCATAAGCAAACGCAGGGAAGTAGGAAGGTCCAGGGCACATAAGGGTGGATGAGTGAGGGTTTCCACATGGCGGAATTTCTCAGCCTCGGCACCACGGGCACTGGGGGCTGGATGAGTCTTCACTGCAGTGGGACAGCTGCTTTGTGCGTCACTGGACATCTAACAGCATCTCGGTTCCTGCCCGTTAGAGGCGGGTGGCCTTCCCCTCCCAATTGGGACAACCAAAAATGTCTTGCTAACTGTTCCCTAGGGGTCCAAAACCACCCTCAGTTGAGAAGCACTTTTTTACAGGAAAGACAGGTCAGACTAGGGACCACATGGGACTCCACCCTCCCAAAGTGCAAATGGAGTTCTGGAAGCCTACTTGGCTGGTAGAGGGTGAGTAACTAGTAACTAAGATGACTGATGGCACCCATTGGGCAAGATCTTCAGTACTTCCTCTGCATGACCATGATCGTTCATTCATTCAGTGAATATGTCTATAGTGCCTACCAAGTGCCAGCCCCACGCGGGGTGCTGGGGATATAACATCTCACTGAACCCTCCCAACTGCTCTATGAAGCAACTGAGGCTCAATGAGGTGAGGCCACTTGCCCAGGGTCATGTAGCAGGAGAGGGACAGAGCTGGACTCCATCCAGGTCTATCTGACCTGGTCTATGCATCTACCCAGCCCTCAGGAAGTGGTTCAGCAAAGCCCTAAGCAAGCATGGCAGGTGGGTGGCCCAGAACCGAACCCTCTCAGGTAGGGACCCTCTTTTTTACTTGATGGGTCCACTGTTACTTGGGAAGCTGTTTCAATAGGTGCTATGAAGACAGAAAGGGCCTGAGGGCAGAGACCTGGGTTCAAATCCCAGCTCTGCCACTTAGGGACTCCAGAAGGTATTTTCGTTCAACCATCGATTCTCATTCTTGGCTGCACATAAGAATCTTGTGCATGGGTCCCACTTAGACCAACCGAGCCAGAATGCCTGTGGTGGGGCCCAGGCTCCGCAGCTGGTTCTAATGCACAGGGAAGCTGGGAACCACTGCTGTAGACACGACATTCCATGAAGTCCCCGATGATCTCATTTGCATTTAACACCAGTGTCAGCACAGGGCCTGGGATCCAGGTGCACATTTGCTGAATGACTGGAAGAGTGAATGAGTGAATGAATGAATGAATGAGACCTTTCAGGGCCTTGGTTTTCTCTGCTGTAAAATGGCATAATACTGTCTTAACTCCTGGAGGCTATTGCGAGGAAACAACATGATAAGCGACAGTAACTCTCTGCCACCTTTAATTTGCCCCACTATTTAACTTGGGAAGCCACCCCAACCCAAACTCCCTCCTCCTGCCTTGCTTCCTCCACAGCTTCTTCCATCATCTAACATACCTCATATTTTAACTCTTTTTCTTTTTATTATCTGTCTTCCCCCTGAGAATGCAGGTGAGCAAAGGAGATGCTGACTTCACCTCTTACCTACTGATGTCCCCTCGCCTGCAAGACTCCCCACATGAGATGCAGAAAAGCCACACACGAGGATCAGGATCAAATGGCCACTGCTGGCACCAAAGACGCTTGTGCAAGGAAAGATTGCTTACAAACAATGACAATTCCAGGTACATTCGACCCCAGCTGTCCTCCTCCCTGATTCCCACCACTGCTCAGGGGACCCCGGCTTGGGACCTGAGCTCTCCCATGCTCTGCCCACCACCCTCTGTGAGCAGGTGACACCAGCCTGCCATTGACCAAACTTCTCTGTGTTTGCCTGGGCCGGGGTACAAGGGACTGTGTGTAAATGGCTTTGCCAAATAGTTTCCCAACCACACAGAGGCTCGTCCTTAATTTAGGAAAGAGGCTTCTCCCTTGTCAGGTGAGCTGGTCCTTCTTGGTGGGGGCTCTTGGCCCACCTGGCCATCTGCTAAGAGCAGGGAGCCCGGGAACCTCAGGCAGCAGCCAGTCCAGTTTGTTTCCTCATCTCCTGCAACTTCTACTAGATTCCCACCCCTGTGCAGAGTGAGACCACCACTGGCTGCTTTATAAGCCGGGATTAGAAGCAGACTTTTCCACTTACACCTCATCCAACAGAAAGTGCTGGAGCCCAAAGGGAAAGTGAGTGGGGAGCGGGAGTCCTGTGTTCTCTGGGCCAGAAAATACCACGTTTCCCCTGCTCACAGAACAGCCACGCACTCTTGTCTAGGTCTGACCTCTTCAGATTTGCAGTACTGCCTGCTCTGGCCATGGAGGGTGGAGGAAAAGGGGACACTGGGGACGTGATGCTCCAAGTCCCCTGTGCCCCCAGGACCCTTGGAAAAAGGACAGAATGGAGCCAGGAGACACCACAGCTATCCAGATGAGAACCAGATGGCCCAGAGAGGGCAGCCGTGGCCACGGCTGAAAGCCAGGATGGAAGTAAGACATGGCCCTAGGCTGGTGTATCTACTGGAAAATGGGTGATTCTCCTATAAAGAGCAGTTCTTTGGCCTGCATCAGCACCCCCATGTCCTGAACACCTACTATGTGCACACCCTGTGCTAGGCTCTATAGAAAGAGCAACACACCAGATGTGCATGTCCCGGTTAGGGGGTCCCCTCCTGCCCCTGGCAGCACTCCGCCCACCACCACCACAAGCACACCCGGATCGGCTCCCCAAGAGCGACTGGGCCCTGACAGAGGGACAGCAAAGCAGGACCGCTTCCTGTCAACCTCACTAATCATGGTAGGGAGACCTGCACCATGCCAAATGCTGCCCACCTCCAGGCAAGCACAACCCTCACAGACCTCTGTCCTCTCCCACCAATGTTCCCCATGCCCCAGGGAGCCAGGCTGGAGCTGGGGGGAGGTGGGTGAGCAGGCAGGCCTGAACCCCACTTGCTAGGAAGCCCAATGGGCAAGACAAAGCATCAACACCGAAGTGTACCTTTCGTCCAAGAGGTCCTGGATTCCCAGAGAGCCCAGGTAAGCCCATGTCACCCTGTAAAACAAGGACAGGTGGTAAGGCAGGGGAACGGGAGCAGAGACACTCACTAGATTGAAAGTGTGACCTCGCAAGGCCTGTTTCCAGCAAACAGGATTCATGGAGGCCTAGACACTTCAGGAGACTTGGGGGCTCCTGTGAAGGGTGAGGGCGCCAAGAGGATGGGGTACCCAGCCCCTCCCACTCACCTCAGTTGCCCACTTGATCTATTTTCTATATTGGACTTTAGCACAGAATATACCATTTGGGAAATGGGTTCTGCTGCTAAAACCATGTTTGAAAACCACCACTCCTGGGGACATGCACTGGAATTGTCTGTCCCATTCCAGTCAGCTCTCTCTCTCTTGGACTTTGTCAGACCTGGGTACAAATCCTCTCTGCACCTGAGCAGCTGTGTGACCTCCTGCAAACCACCTGCCTCTGGGGCCTCTTGTTTTCTTATCTGCAGGCAGGGCCCAGCTACCCTGGCTTATAAGGTTACAATAAGGAGGAGGTGGACGTGTATGTGGACATTTACACCTAGTAAATGTTGGCTAAATGAGAAACCTTATCAGTGATGAGCCACCTGTGCCTTGGGGAAATCAAAAGGAGCTGCCACTTCTTTGTGCTCAAGCACAGGAGGCAGGGTTGAAAGGCAGTGTTCTGTCTGCCAGGAGGGTACTGTGCTGGGTCCAGAAGGAAACCAGACACTTGGCATTCCTTCCAGAATATGTATGTCTGAGATGCTCGGGACCTTACTTAGAGTTCTGGGTTCCCTTGTTCCTACCTGGCCTGTGCTTCCTCAAGGCCCCTTGGTCAGCGTCTTGGGGCGATGCTTCAGGGATGGAGGAAGTCCTTTGGACTAAGTGTTTTCTCTTCTATGGAAGAACCTTCTGGTCTGCATAGCCCTTCAGAGGTAGGGAGCCCTGAATCTCCAGTCCATTCTCTTCCCTCCTCCTAGAAGCCCCCAGACCTGCCTACTTGAATAAACAACCTCAGAGGGGATTTGAATGTCTGTTGGAAGCTTCCTGGGCATGTGTACCAAGAAGCTTCTGGATGCTGAGGGTCACTTAGAGGGCCCTGCAAAAAGTGATATAGGGCTTTGGGCAAAGGGTCATTCACCCAGTGTGTGTCCACAGGCAAAATCTTTTGTTGGTTTTATAAGTTGCACCCCAGAAGACAGCAGAGAATGGCTTTGGTTTGGTGCGGGGACAGAGAGAGCACTCAAAGGACAGACCAAACCACACACTGACCTTTCTACTCCCCACCTCCTGCCTCTGCCATGCAGTGGCCTCTGCCAGCAGGGCTCGCCCCAGAGCATGGCGGTTTCCACTTCCCCGCTTCCCTGAGCACTGGGGTCCCTGGAAACCTACCTTTGCCCCATCGTGGGCCTTCCCTGGTGAGAGCCCTGGGTCCCCTTTCTGTCCCTGAAACAAAAACAATTCCACTGTGGCCTCGAATCATCTAAGAGAATGTCTCCCCACAAACTCTGCTCAAAGCCCTGTTCCCTTGCTTGAATCCCCCACATCCATCCCCCACTCACACCCTCCAAAGGGGTCTTCTCCAGTTCCATCTCCCCTTGCTGTAACACCTTCCATAGCTTCCACTGACTGCATGATGACAAAGTTCAAACTCCTCCTCTGGTGTCCCAAATCTTCTATCACCTGTTCCCAGCCATCCTGTCCAGACTTTCTCTCTTCCCACCAGCCAAACCCACCAATAGGGTCCCTCTGCCCCATTCCCAGACCATAGCCCATTCCTCAACCATGCCCTGCCCCTCCCTGCTGCCAGGTCCTTGCTCAGGAAGTCACCCCCACCTAGAAAACCGTTCCCCAGTTATCACTAGCCAAAACATAAACATCCTTCAAAACATAGCTTCAATGCATCCTTCCCGACCAACCTGCAGATCCCTGGGTCCTCAAACAGGCAACAAGTCTTTGCATATGAGTGTTGCAAGGACTGCCTCCTGGCTTATTCCCAGGGCTCTCAGTTTCTGAGACACATCCAAGTGGCATACTCAACTCTTTTTTGACTTTCCTGCATGCTCACCTCACCATTCTCTAATTACTAGATCAGTGCAGTAACACCCACTTGCATTTGTGTACAGTCCTTCACAGTTTACAGTATCTCTTATACCACTAGATTCTCACAATACCCCAAAGAAGTGGTCAAGGGAAGTATTATTACTCTGGTTACACATTTGGGGAAACTGAGGCTAGGGAAGGAACGGGACTGTCTGGGCCCCGAAGAAGGAGGCATTGGCAGACTTGAGACCACAACTCTGCAGTTGTGACTCCCAGATCTGTGTTCTAGGATGTCCTAAGACACAGGGAGTTAGAAGAGGCTGTAAACAGGGGAGAAACCACAGGCAGTGGGGTCAGTCAGACACAAGCACCCTTTGTGCCCAGCATATGGTAGTATTCCCATGGCAATCCTGCCTCTTAAGAGCATGGGGCTCAGGGAAAGGGCCCAAAGAAGTCACGAGCTGTGTCCCGCTGGGCTGGAGCATGCTCATGGCTATGGGCTTTCTCATTTGGCCCAACCTGGCTAAATTTCTCAGGAAACAGTCCATTGGAACGTCAGTCCACCCCGATCTTACCTTCCAGAAAGAGGCCCTGATCCCTCACCCTCACTCCCACACTCTCTCTCCACACTGGGCCCTGAGTCAGAAACCCTTGGGGAGAGCCACAGTGGGACCTCGGACAAGTCACTTCGCTTCTCTGAGCCTCCATTTACTAACCTCAAAATGGGGGTTGCTCTGCACCCATACACAGGCATGTACACACATGGGCACACATACACATAAGGGCACAAGCACGTGTACTCATACATGTGCATGGGTGCATGTACATATCTACTCATAAAAGGTGCATGCACACATATGGGTGTATGCACACAGGCACACACACATGAACACACGTACACATGTATGGACCCAGGTGTGTGCACACACATGCACATGGGCATACGCACATGCATGCTCACTCAGTGCACATAGGTGTGCGCACACACATACATGTACATGGATGCTTGTGCACATACACTCACACTTGCACAGTGGTGTATGCACAAGCATCCATTCACACACATTCACACACATGTGCTGGCTTCCCAGGTTTCTTGGCAAGGAGCCAATGGGAAAATGGATGTGACATATGGAAGAGGTGGTTTGGCCAATTTTGATTGATTCCCATTTGGTTCTATTCTTCCTCAGAAACCAGACCTTCCACATCCTGAGTCAGTTAATCTCCACAATAAACCATTGCATTCTGAACTGATGGAGCCTTAAAGAGGGAAGGGAACGCCTTTCATGGCTCACCTGTCCACACCCAATATTGTGCTAGACCTACTCTATGCAACAATTCCCTTAGCTGTCTGAGCACCCACTTGTTGCAACTCAGGACCAAGACCAGGGCTCAGAGAGGCTGAGTGACAGGCTGGGGTGATGCACAGGTAAGAGGCAAGGGTTTAGTAGGTCTGACTAGCCCCCAATCTGTCTGACTTCAAAGCCCTTATTTACTAAGCCTCGATGCCTCTCTCACAATCTTTCCAGCTGCCGCAGGCTGGAGGCAGGCCCCTCCTTGCTAGAATGCCAGCTCTCTGACCACCCAGCCCCCTCCAAGTCACTTCTGCCACACCCACCCTCTGGGATCTGCCACCCCACACTGCAATTTTGCCCCTCACAGATATTCTCCCACCCTCAGCTGCTCACAAACCCAGCTCCAATGCCTTTTATGTCCATGGTGCAAGGCCAGGCCCATGGCTCCTGAGGATTCTAATGGCCAAAAAAGGACAGCAGCTTCTCCCCACCCGGCTCTTACCCACCTCAGTCTGCAGCTGGTAGAGGAGCTGGGCATATAAAGCTTTTGGGGCTGGGCCTTCATGTAGCCTGTTCTGTTATTTTATTAAAGGGGAACCTAAGATCCAAAAAGATAACAGACTTGCTCCTTTGCCCAGGGTCTTTACACAGGCACTTGAGTTACTTATAGGTTTCTCTCTGCATTCTTGGCAGCCAGCACAGTGCTGGGGAAGTAACTCCTGCCTACGTTCAATATCCACAAGTACAGAAACTCACTGACCATCTACTATAAGCCAAGTCTTATGATGAATAGAGGGAGGAGGGAATACCAAGGTGGGGAACAAGACGCAGCTTATGTCCACAGGGAATTTTTGATGGAGAAAACAGAGACCAATAATAATAAGCACTAGCATTTACTGAGTCTCTTCTCAGCCCTTGATACATGAACCTATGAGGTAGAAACTATCACTGTCCCCATTTCACAGATGAGGAAACTAAGGCACTGGGAGGATAAGTAACTTGTCCAAGGTCATGCAGTTAGTAAAGGGGACTTAGGCTCAGGCAGTCTGATTCCAGACAGCGCCTAAGCTCTTCACATTTTAATACAGTGCAGAGGAAACAGTATAATCCATGTAGTGGGAGAGCAAGTGGAAGAGAGGAGGAAGTCAAGGAGAACTTGACCCAGTCTGAGGGCAAGCTCCTGAAGGGAACTCCAGCTAAGCTAAAGTCAGAGGAAGTAAAGGAGGGAATCAGGGAGTTTCAGCTCCAGGGATGCTAGAGGCACCCCTGGTCAGGCGAAGGTATTATTCCTGGGATGGAGAAGACTATACATCTTCCCAGCCAGACTCCTACAAATTCCCCAGAGAGATATACAAGAACTATATAAAGTCTAATTAATTGCTTACACCTTGGTGAAGATGAGAACCTGGTCACCAGACCCAGCTCTCCAGTCAAGGAGTCTGTGCGACCTTGGGCAAACCCCTTGCCTTCTCTGTGTGGGGAATGGTAGACTTCACCTGGACTAGTTAACAGAGCCTTGCAGAACTAGAAGATAGATAGAATGATATATCCTAAACCATAAATGCTAAAAGGTAGCAGGAATGGGAACTAGTAGGCTAAGCTTCTTTTCTGCAAGTAGGGTTGGGAGGTAGATAAAATAGAGAGCTCTGGGTGGCTGAAGGTTAGAAAGAGACTGAGACAAAGGAGGAATAAATCCTGAAAGATTGGGAAATTCTGGGTTAGAAGTCCCCTGTCTAAGTCACCTCTGATCCAAAGTATGTAACACAGGGCCTGACCCAGGGAAGGCATTAAAAAATATTTCACAAATGGGCAAATGAATGAAAGGAGGCTCAAGAGACAACTCAAGGGCTGGGACTGGGTCAGATCTGGCCCCATCCCTGGAACCTCCTCTGAAGACTCTCTGGGCCTCTCATTATCACACTACTATTTCATGTGTTTAGAATTTCTGACCAATGCAATTAAGCAGGAAAAACAAATAAGACTACTAACCTTTGAAGAAAAGTAGACAAAAGTATGTCCTGTTTTGCAAACCATATGAGTGACTGTCTGGAAAATCCAGAAAAACTAACTGAAATATTGTTAGAATTAAGAAGACAATTCAGTGAAGGGCATGGTTTTAAAATAAGCACAACTAGTACAAAAATACAAGTCAACATTTTCGTTGATAGCTGAGAGCCAGCCAGAAAATATAATGAGAAAAATATTCCATTCATAACAGCAGCAAAAATATGAAATTTCTAAGTATAAACTTAATAAGAACTGTGCCGGGCTTATGCAATAAAAACTATAAAAATTTACTAAGAGACATTTAAAAAACTCAACCAAATGGGAAGACATGGTTTTAGATAGGAATACTTATTATTTTTAAATTCTTCATAAATTAATATACACATTTAATACAATTCCAATAAATACCTCAAGAGGGCTTTTTTTTTAAGGAAATTATTAAGATGGCAAAAAGTTCATTTGACAAAATAAATACCCAGAAGTATTTTAAAAGATGGGGGGAGGGTTGGAAAGACACAAAAAGATAGTAGATGTCAAATAAAATAGTATTTTACTAGCATAAAAACATACAAACAGGGCAATGAAACACAATGGCAGGAAATATACCTGGTCTATCATATCATAATCAGTAGAGGCAGAGTTATTTAATAAATGGCTAATTACTGGGGGAAAAATAAAGTTGGAGTCCTACTACCCACCCCCATGAAGATTAATTTCAGATGTTTCAACTTTCTTAACAGTGCAAATGATATTATGAAATGACTAGGAATATAAGTGAATACTTATCTGATCTTGGAATGGGAAGGAAATGTCTAAGTATAAAAGTAAACAACCATAAATCTGATACATGGGTGGAGCCCTCTCCAAACTATCTGGGATATCTTAAGTTCCTAATAAGTATAAGCTGTTACTTTTAGTCCAAAGGATAAAGAAAAGGTAACACTTCCATTTGTGAAAGTTATCATGAATAGTTTTAGTAGGAAAACAACCAAACTAGAAAATATCTATAAGGTAGATGAAGCCTTACTAATCTAAATATATAAATACAAGTAATTTTATAAATCAATAACAAAAGACAACATGCCAACTCCAAAAATAGACAAATGTATAAATGGTGAAATACAAATGAAAACAGATATAAGAAGAGCATTCTTCTCATGGATCATCAATGAAGTAAAGTGAAAACAATAATGAATTATCTTTTAAAAATATCCTCCTCTAATGCTAGCAGCAGCATGAATTGGTTCATTTTGTCTAGAAGGCAATTGTTAATAAAATAACAGTAAACACTCATACAGCACTTATGTGCAAGGTATATTTTATTCATCTGCCCTATGTATGTATGTATATCTATACATTGTATATACACATCCATGTGTGTATGTATATACACATACCCACACATATACACACAGATGAATATATATCTTGCCTAATATACATTGCTTAATCTACAGAGAAAGGTCAGAGAGCTTTGGAGCTTAATGGCCCTGTAGCTATGGGCTTTGGAGTAAGACAGGAGAGGGTTCAAATCCTGCGTCTGCCACTTATTAGAAATGTGATCCTTGGCAGGTCACTTAGCTACTTTGGATTTTAGTTTTCTCATCTGTAAAATGGGGGAATAACATCTGCCCTACAAAGTACATGAAACTTTTGACCAGTCCCTCACTCATAAGCTGCTCGAAATGTACTCAGTGCTTATTACTGGGCAGGGCCACTGCTGGCAGCTTACTTTTTCCGACATACTTCCTAGATAGACTTTTGTACATTTTCTTTAATCACTATGCCCTACCTCCATGGTCAAAGGAGGGGGAAAGGTAGGCTGGGGCCTGGGTCCAGAGAACCCTGTAGAGTCGTGTCCACCTCAGTTCCCACCAGCTCTGTAGAAGCCAGCTGGGTCACCAAGCCTGCTCCTACCCCGACTCCCTACCCACCCCTTGTCTATCCTCCCCGGGTGCCTGAGGCCCATAGTAATCCTGGCTAATTCACTGCAAACCCAGTGAGCCAGACCAGGGATGAGGCAGCTGGCTGCCGAGAATGGGGCCAGGCGCTTTATCCTCGGGCGTGGGCAGCACTGGCCTTCCTGCACAGCTGGAGCCCTGCCCACCTCCGCACTTGCACCGCAGCCTGCAGACTCCTGACTTTCCCACGGTCCCTCATCAGCACTGCCCTCGGGGCAGCTCTAGGCCTCCCCACTGGTCACCTGCCAGGCCCTGCTTCTCAAATGCCTGAGTTGCCTTTACAGACCTCATCTGATTGTGCCACCTCTGCTAAAAACCTTTTCATGTCTTCCTGCTGCTATTTGGATAAAGTCTAAAAGTCTTACCTCCATCTACCAGGCCTGCTGCCCTCCCCAGGCTTCTTGCCTGTGTGTCTAGTCACCTGCTGCACTTAGAACTTTGGTTCAACCTTCCCAACCTCTAGGAAGGCAGGCCTCACCCAGACCAGACCATCCCCACCTAGTGCCTCTCATGTGGGGTCCTTTTTGTGGCGTAATTCAACAATCGGTGTGACTAACTTAATTCCACAAGGGTGGGGACTGTACCTGACTGTGCCCTACTGCAGGCCCTGTGCCTTACATATGCTGACAGCAGACTTCCTGTATCGTGTGCCACAGGCCAGAGCTGCTCTAAGGAACTTGGTTACCCCTTATGACAACTCAAGGGGACAGCTACTCTTATCGTCCCATTTTCCAGATGAGGAAACCGAAGCATAGGAAACTCAAATAATTTACCCACAATCACGGAACCAGGAGGTGACAGCTGGGGTTTGAATTAAGACCACCTGGCTCCAGAATCTGTGCTCTTAACTATGGCTGCATGAATCAACCCAGTGACTCAACCTCAGCCCTCCAAGGTCAGCTAATGCCATCATCCCAGGGTCCAATTTCTCTGCCTCATTCTCAGTCCTTGATATTGACTCTCTGCGAGAGCTGATGACCCCTGTTCTTGATGGGGATGCATGTGGGGTGTATGGGTATGTGGTATGTGGGGGAGCCCTGGGCTCTGGAGGAGGCAGATGGGGTTGAAGCCTAACTCTGGCTGTACCAGCTGTGGAGCCCTGGTAAGTGTCCTCTGGCAGGCAAGCCCAAGAATCTGCCACTGCTGGGCACTGCCAGTGACCTGAATAAATCACCTTGGCCTTTCGTGACCTCAAGATGGATGAAATCTTTCATCTTCCCTTCTTGATCTTCAATCCACTGGTGTCTCCTACCCTTTGGTCTTTATCCCACAAGGCCATAAGGTCCAGAGGGCTCAATAAATGTGCTGAAGGAAGGACAGTACAGTGACCGCTCTGGGCAAGGTTCAGGCTCCCCGCCACCAGGGCATGCCCTGACTATTTGGCTGACTTCTCCAGCAACAGCACATAGTAGGCGCTCAATAAACATTTGTTAACTGCAAAAAGATGAGTGGATAGGCAGCCCCAGAAGTGGCTCTAAAAGCCAAATCCATGAGGAAGAGGAGCCAGCACTGGACCTGGAGGAGGCCAGTCCTACAGTCCCATCAGATCACCTCCCAGCCCAAAGGGGATTTTGGTAACAGTAAAGTCCCTCTTCCCAGACTCATTCATGTACATACACTACATTCTCTTCCAACCTCAGCTAAGTCAGGAGTTCCACCCAGAGACAGCACCATCCCGGCCATGCCACAGATCAAGGGCAGCCCAGGATCCAAGTCCAGAAGACCAGAGCCTCCCACCCAACTGACCTGGCTTGGGGCTACTTGTGCTCACCCCTGGGCTCTAGGTGAATGTCTGGGCAAAGGGCATGACTTCTCCCATTGGAATTTTATGCAAGTGCTAATAGAAAAAGCAGCCTCCCATTGCAGCCTATTTTCTGAAGCCCAGTCTTCTGCTATACACAGGAGCAGGCTGGCGTCCTTTCCAGGAGGTCCACTGGTCCCACCTCCATGTGGCAGCAGGAGGACTCACCTACTAGGTACAAGCCTCACTCACCACCCCCAGGGTGGCTTCTCAGAATGGAGGAAGAAGCAGCTGGTGGGCCTTGTTTCTGCCTCAGCACGTCTGCTGGCAGGATGGGAGTGGGCTGCAGGCCAGGCTGGGGCTGCCGCAGGGCTGGGGCTGAGGCCCCGCGGCGTGGGGCCGGCGTGGACCAGGGGAGGAACTGATGGAGCATCTGTTGCCACAGAAGCAAAGATCAATCTGGGAGCAGAAGGGAGACGGAGTGGGAAGGACCGGACAGTCCCAGGGCAGGCCAGCAAAGGCGTGTTCCTGAGCAAACCTGGCAATTCGAAACAGCTGTTGAGCCTCAGCATCTTGATATACCCCACAGCCTGGCAGACCCGAGGCCTCTCTGCAAAGGAGAAGTCTCCCAAGGAGCAACCACTTTCCGCCTGCCCGACAGGGGCACGACCTGCTGCCATCTCCTAGACAGCATCTTAATTTGCCTGAGCTTCAGTGTCTCTGTCTGTAAGTGGGACAGTACCTCCACCCATCTCTTTAGGTCTTTGTCAGGACTAAAAGGAGATAAGCTCCATAAAGTGCATGCACAGGGCCTATCACACAGTAGGATCCAATATATGGTGCTTATTGTCATCAGTGATTGCCTTGGAGGGCAGCTATGTTTACCACTGTATCACTAATGCTGTCCTCTGACCTAAAACCCAGAGCACCTCCGGGCAGCCGCTGGCCACTGAGCACCTGAGGCCTCTGTTCCTGCCCAGCCCTGCCTGGCTGTCAAGTCACAGGGCTGCAGGGGCTGACGCCAATGCTCCTGCAGCTCTGTGCAAGGACTCTTCACCGGCATTCTGGTGTCATGGTCATATATCCAGGGCTGCCTGGGTACTACCTTTACCTCAAACTCTTAGACAAGCTGGTGGGCCAGAGAGCTCTACCCTAGGAGTCAGAGCAGGCCTTTGGAGGTGGCATGACCTGGAGCCAGCCGGCAAAGGGCTTTCTGTAAGCCGCTCGGGATTTACAGGATTCGCAAAGACTGCCCTTGGGCCTGGCCGACCAAAGCCCGGGAGTGTTCTTCACCAAGTTATCTGACAGAGAAGAGGCTCGGCTGGGCAACACCCTGCCCTGGAGCCCATCTGCCCTTCCTGGTGCGCCCTGCACTCCCTGGGCACAGTCACGCGCCCTCAGCATCCCTGACCGTGCATCTTCCTTCTTCTCTGATTTCTCCAACCGCTCCTGAGACCTCATCTCCCATGACCTAAATGTTGCCAGCTTCCCACTCCACACCCTGCCCTGGACAACCCTGCTCTGCCAGAGCCCCAGGAACAGGACCCCATGGTCATCAGCACCCCAGTCACTCTTGTCTCCGTGGTCTCATCACAAAGTTACTGGAGCACTCCAGGAAGGTTCCCTGTGGAGATGGCATCTCTGTGCTGGCCACACCCCAAGGCTCTATCTCCAGCTCAGAGTTCTCCAGAGTTCCAGAATGTCTGCCCACAAATCTGTGCCACCTGCCTGGGGTATAGGTCCCCAGTGTAGCATCATCTTCTTCTTCCCTGCATTCCCAGGCTAACAGCAGGGAGTCCCCACCGCTCACTGCAGGTCCGTCACTGGGTCCTCTCTATCTCACCTCTGTGTTGTGAATGCACACTTCCCTTCTTCTGGGCCAGCCCCACCTCCCAGGCATCACCTTCAGTCTCTTCACCTCTGCTCTGGTCCCCACCCCAAGACCATCCTCCCCACGGCATCCAGTGGCCTTTCTCAAACACGATCTTTCCATGTCCCTTCCCAGCTCAAAAGTCAGTATGCCTCCCCAGGGTGTGTCATCTGACGCAGGAAAACTTACATCCTTAGCTGGACATTCAAGGCCCCCCTATTTAGTAGCAAATGACCTTTCTTCTACTCTTCTTCGTAGGAAGGCCTCTAGGCTCCAGCTGCCCTTCTCCCGCCAGTGCCTCCCAACCAGAAGCTACACTCCTAACTCCTCACTGTGGCTCCAGCTTGGCAGGGGCCTGGCACAGGGGAGGCACTCAGGGAGTGCCTGTGGCCTGGACACGGATCCACCACAGTGGCCCTCAGCCCTGCACCAGGAGCCCCGAGGATGACCCCATCCCCAGCACCCACTTGTGGCCCTATCTCTAGACCCCACAGCAAATACTCACTTTGGCTCCAGGAGGGCCTGGGAGGCCTGGATTTCCATAAGGCCCAGGTGGACCCTGAAAGGGAGAAAAAACAGAGAGGTGAGAGGGAAATGGGGGTCATTTCACCTCCTGCAGCAGCGCCCAGCAGTCTCCTTCTATCTGCTAGGTCTTCTCCCCAGCCAAGTCTTAGGGGCACTGCCATGGGGCCTCCTTGTAGGAAAGCCCCCCAACACCTGACCCTGCAGTGAGCACTTTGCATGCATTATCAAATTATACTCTATTAGCCCCCAAGGTAGGTGCTATCAGCATGCCACTATTTTGAAAAGGAGGAAGCTGGTATTCAGAGAGGTTTGTAACTTTCTCAGCTCATCCAGCTGCTAAGGAACAAACCTAGATCTCCACCTTAGATGTGTGATTCCAGAGCACAAGCTCTTAACCCCTAAATTTTACCACCATTCCACACACTCTCCACCTGACCCCATTAGCGCTTCCCAAGCTGGCTACTTGGGTTCAAAGCACACTCAGCTATCCGTGCCTCTTCCTGTGTTATTCCCACCATCTGACATGCCTTTCCCATCTATATGCTCCTGCTGCAACACAACCCATCTTCCAAAGTCTGGCTCAAATGCTGCCTCCTCCAGGGAAACTGCTAGGACTCCTTCTGCCTAAAGGAACTTCTCCACTCTTGAGACTCCAACTGGACTTCTGTTCAAGACTTTTATGGAGTTGAGAGCTCAAAGAAGACAGCACTTGCCCCCTCCTGAACAAAGCTGCATCCCCCTGTGGCCACAGCACATAGTCAGAGCTCTTCCTTAAGAGTCCTACAAGCTACAAGCTTACAGGGTCCTCCAGGGTCCACAGAACAGCTGGGAAGACTAGGCCCAGAGAGTCAAAGAGTCTTGGCCAAAGTCACACAGCAGAGTAGCAGCCAAGCAAGGGCTGGGACGCTGGTCTGTTGGCTTCAAGTCCAGGGTCTATTCATGGCACTGGATTTTCCCAAGCTGTATCCAAATCCCTGTAGCAGCTGGGGCCTGTTAGGTCCACTTTCTCCAGCAAGGGCCCGTGGGCTAGTCTTGCAGATGAGTAATATAAACAGAGCTCTAAGAGTCGGGCAATCCCTAAGGGTCTTTGTCCAGTAGGAATAATCCAGGACATTGGGGGCTGGGAGAGGCACCTTGAGATGTCCAGTGGTGCCCCCGTACACCAGTCTGTAGACACACTGCCCTCATCCCCGGCCCCTCTTGCCTCATCTGGCTAGCGCTGCAGGAACTTGCTTCCTTCCCCCCTCTCTGAGGCCAACTTCCCAGCTGCAGCCTGTCACATTCTGACCAAGGCGCCTCCCTCTTCCTCGATGCCTGAACTGGGACCTTCCCCTTCTCCAAACATGTTGAGAAGGAACCGTGTTCAGAAGCTCCCTCAGCCTAGGGAATAGATGACGGTGTTACGGGTGACCCTCCATCTAAAATAGTCAGCTGTCTGGCCCTTTCCCAACATTCCATCAAACTGTCTCCTGGCACATGGATGTAACCTGAAAGTGTCAAGACCTGGAAGCAGCTCTGAGCCCCCCACCCTCAGCCTCTGTCTCCCCCATCTGTCCTATGACTATCTGGGACCTGGTGGTCTCTAAGGGATCTGGAAACCTCAGCTATTCACCCCAGCCCAGCCTCCTGGAGTCTAACCTCAGAGCTCAGCCTGAACTGGGCAAAGGTTGGGCAGGGGTATTTGAGGAGGGGCCCTTGCCCAGCACCCAGAACCAGGCATAGGCTGTGAGAGGTCAAGGGGGCCACTTCTCCCCAGTCATGCCCCCAGCTGCCCCAAAGATGGTGGACTAGATCACTTAGCTACCCCATCTGCAGCTTGTGAAGGTGGGGGCTTTCTGCTTCCCCACCCCACCTCCCTACCCCTCTCCAGCCAATGCCTTATGAAGAAACGAAGCACATAGTTGACTAGGAGCCAAGCAGACTGATTCTATAAATGCTGCAGCTCAGAAAGTCATGTTGGGGGAGGGCCAAGGGATTCCCCGTTGTCTCTCGATGGGCTGGGGGAGCATATGGAGGAGGGAAGGGGTATGCCACCCAGTTTTAGGTAATCTTAGGTAAGGCACTGACCTTCCCTGAGCCCCTGCTGCCATCTGTACGGAGGAACTGGGATTGTTTAATCCTAGCATTCTGCTATCTTTGGAATTTCATGATCTATGGAATTTCCAGTCTAGAAACAGGATGATGGGGGTGGGGCACACAGAGAGCCTAGGAAGGATGTCAGGGGAGTCATTCACTCGGTCGTGGAATTTCAGAGCTGAGAGGAACCTTAAAAATTCCTTACCACAATTCCATGTTTTATAGACAGGGAAACTGAGGCCTGGAGAAGGGAAGGGGCTTGCCGGAGATCACACAGCTTCAGGGTGAAAATGCTACACCCACACTAGAACTCTCTAGCAACCATTTGCCCAGCACCTGCTGCACACAGGTCACTCTGCTCAGCATCATGTAGGAGAGAAACAGGCCTGTCTCTGGCCCAGAGGGGCTCAGCTGAACAGACAGAAAAATTATCACAATAGACGGTAAGATCATAGGCTGTGGAGTCAGATTATCTGTGTTGAATCCTGTCTCTGGAATTTACTCTATGTTTGACTTTATCCAAAGAAATGGAACCTCCCTGAGCCTCTGTTTCCTCACCTATAAAATGGGGACAATATTGGAACCTAGTCTCAGGACGGCTGGGAAGATGGGATGAGATCACATGTACGCAGCTCAGCCAACAGAGCTCAGTGGTTGATGTGAGATTTAGAAAGTTACTTGTGCCATCGTGAGGGGCAAACAAACTGCTGCAGGAGCTCTGAGAAGGGGGTGATCACCAAAAAAGGAGGTAGCATTTCATCTGAGCCATGAATGGAGGAGGAGTTTGCAAAGAGGGCATGGCAGGTTGAAAGGACAGCCCAAGTGGGGCTGCAGAGGCTGGAGGGCTCAGGAGTCTGGGAGCATGAGCAGACTGCCTGAGCTTGGAGGGCTGGATCAAAGAGTCCCACCTTAGTCCCAGACTGCAAGGACCCATGGCCAGCAGTGTCCACGATACCTCCGTGGTCCCCAGCTCTGGGCATGTGCTCCATGGAGACTCTGACTCCAGGAGGAAATGAAGCTTCGGACAAATTCCACAGCCCTGGGCCCAGGGAGCGCAGGGCCAGGTCTGGAGGGAACTAGGGCTCAAGTAATTGCATAACCAGAGCCATCCGCTGAGTTCAGAGCTAAAAATATGCCCCAGGCAGCTATCTTTGCCAGGGCCTTCCCAGGCACCCAGCGTGGGAAAGGCTGATTCAGCCTGGGCACAGATGCCAGGCATCACGGGTCTGAGCCCTCTTGAGGAAAAGCAGATTTCTCTCCAAGAGGACCCCCAAGAGTTCCCCCATATGGTTAAGAGCCTGGGTTCCCGTCCTGGCTCTTCCATTTCCTAGATGCTCAGTTTCTTCATTCCTAAAAGGAGAATGATCATACTGGCCATGGGGCTTGGAAGAAGAGGGGATCAAATAAGGTAGCAGAAAGTGACATGTCACGCATAACACAGGGGAGCTGTTTTTCACTTGGAGGCTCAGGTTGGCTCACCTCAGCCCCTGCAGCCCTGCCCAGCCATTCCCTCAGCATGCGGAGCTCATCCACTCCCTGGCATGGCCCGTCAGTTGCCTACGTCGATATCCCTACCCAAGGATGGCCCTGCAGAGATGGGAAGACGGATACAAGGGCCATGTCCTCCTGCGTCAGCTTTTGTCCTGGACAAACGCTAAAGCCCAGCAGCTCAGGGGCTGTGCTCTGCTAATGGGGTCTCCACCCCAGGCTGCCAGGGGTGATAACAATGGAGAAGTGAGGTAAGAGGTCATCACTGTCCCATGCCATGTCCTTTTACACAGTGCCCCCTAAAGGCCTTAACTCCAATTGGCAAAGGGGAAAATGGGTACCAGAGAGGGGCAAGAACCATCTGAGGACACACAGCAAGTCTAGGACTTGAGGGACAGTGGGCCAAAGAGCCAATCAGATCTCCAAAGGACAGTGTGTGATCACTTACCCGACGCCCCCGTGCACCAGGGGGTCCAGGAAGCCCAGGAAGCCCAGGGGAACCCTGAAGAAAAAGCAAGAAGACAGTATCAGTGTCATAGAGAATGGTTTCAAGCAGTCATTGAACAAACCTGTCCAGAGCTCTGGACAGGAAAATGCTATGGCTGAGAAAAGGGTTCCTGAGGTCCCTGCCTTAGGAACTCATGTTCTTTGGGGCTTTGGGTCTCTGTAGGTGCTGTTTCTTGGTCTTTGAAGCTCCCATCATTTCTCACTCAGCTAACTTACTGGGTTAGAGTGTCACTTCCTCCAGGAAGCCTTCCCTAACCACTCTCCCAAGTTGGGCCAAGTCCCCTCTTTCCCTCTATTTTAAGGCCACTGTATTATGTGGGGGAATTGTCTGCTTAGAGGCCTGTCTCTCCCATTAGACCATGGTCTCCTCAAAGGAACTCATGGGATATGAGTCATCTCTCTCTCCCCAGGGCTAGGCCAAATGTTTGATAAAATAAAACAACAAGAGACCTCAGAACTCAGCCAAGTTCTCCACAGAACCAGAGCAGAGAACAGACTTGTCCAAGGCCACTCCAAGCATCTCTCTGAACTATGGAAAAAGAGTGTAGCATACAGGGCATAAGCTAACGCTTTTGCATCAGGCAGGCCTGGGTTCAAATCCCAGCACTGCCACTTACCAGCTGAGTTTGGGTGGGCTCCTTAGCCAACCTGTGCCTATGAAATGGGGGCACTAATACCTTCTTCATAAAATTATCAGGGGGATGCCATGAGAGATGGTAAACATGTAGTGCAGTGCCTGCTACATATCACTACTCAAATGTTTCATATATTCCAGTGATCACAGCCTGGTCCAGACTTCATTACCACTCCTCAGGAACCTGCAACAGCCCCCTCATTTGTTTCCCACCTCCACTCTCTCCCATCTCCAGTCCTCCACACAGCCTCCTTCAACTTCCCAAGGAAGTCCCCCTGCTCAACAACACTTAATAGCTCCCTACTTCCCACAAGAGAAGGGCCTAGCCCTGCAGCACAGCATTCAGGGAGCACCTGTCCAGCCTCACCTCTTTTCCCTTCACATCGGAAGGGAGGTAGCTGAGCAGACTTACTAAAGGGGGGCTGACCTTGGTTCAAATTCTGATTTTGCCACTCAACAGCTGGAGACTGTGCAAGCCCTTCAGCCTGAGTCTATGCTCCTCCCCTTTACCATGGATTCATTAGCTGTCCCATCTATCCCAAAAGAGTAAGTGAGGATTAACTAAGTGCTTGATGCAAAGAATTGAGCACAAGCCTTCAAAGGAAGCCAGACTTTCAAGGATGTGTGAGGCCTGGGGAATTCATTTGTTTCAAATAACCATCAATGAGATTCCAGGTTTCCTGCCCAGAGTTAAAATCAGTGTTGAAAACTTAGTACGGTTGGGCTGGTAATTAATTCAGATCTCACGCTGGGCAGCCTCAGTTCACAGTTCTGGCCTGTGAACACCACGTGCTGGCTGGTCCATGAATAAAAATCAGAAGAGAACTCCAGACAGGCAGATAGAGTACCAAAGCCCCAGGGTCACTGGAAAGAGCCCTGGGCAGAGGGAGAGGGTTTATTGCATGACCTCAGGCAAGTCTCAGCCACCTCTGAGCCTCAGGGACCTCTGGACAAATTGGCAGCCAGCTCCCTTCCATCCAGTGCCCTGGGGCTGGGTGGATAGTTTCCAGTTTTATATGTAGTTCTGCAGGCTTGGGATTCAGGGCCAGCCTCCTGCAAGCTCCTCCCTGGAAGCAGTACTGTATAAGGCTGGGGTCCGGCTTCACTCGGCCACCCCCACTTACGAGCTGTGTGGCTTGGACCAAGCTACTTTCAGTCTCCAAAGCCTTCATTCTTTAACTGCAAAATGAGGATGTAACAGCACCTAGCTGACAGATAATCTATAAAAAGTGCTAATCCTGGTGCCTGGCATACAGTTAATGCCCAGAAAGTTAGCTGTTGTTTCTGTTAAGCAAGCTACTGGAACCTCCCCAACTTAAATTGTAAGCCACCCTCTGCAGCATCTGTTTTTCAGGAGGAGCAAAAGACTTCCCTTCCTAAAGGCCCTCCTTGGCCTTATTTTTCCAGGTGACCCAGAATTAAAGGGAAACGCAGGCTTTAAAGCTAAGCATTCATGTAGGTCTCACTATCACTGCCAAGCCTTTTTAACAGATGAGAAACCAAAAAGAAGTTCAGAGAGGCAAAATGATTTGCCCAACACCACGCACCAACAGGCAGAGCCTGGATTCAATCCTGAACACCTGACTTGTTCTCCTATCCTGGGCAGCTTCCACACAGAGCCTCTTGGCTAGGTGTGCTCTGATTGGTGTATAACTGGGTAAATCCCTTCCCCGCCGTGGGTATATGTGAAATGAACTGAGCCTTCCCAACACTGGTACTTCCTGAGCTGTTAGAGTAGTGGGTATTTCCTCCCCTAGGTCATCCGACAGGAGAGGAAAGGTGAGGTTAGGCCCTTCTTAGAAGAAGGCCAGACCCAGCAGGGTGGGGCTTGTACCAGGCCCCAGGGAGGGACAGTCTCTACAGGGAGTAGCTCCCTCATGGACACTGGCAGGGCTGTTGCTACAGAGGCCTGAACACTCCCTCTTGGCATTTCTTCTGTCCCAGAAATGGGGGCATCCAGGCTGGAGTCTGACCTCATCCGCAACATCTGCAGAGCAGATTCTCAGTGCCAGTCGGGACCCACAGCCTGGCCTGGTGATGTCAGGGTGCGGCTCAACTCCTTGACATGGCAGCCCAGCCCCCAGCTGCAGGCCTGGCCAGTCCCTCCTTTATCAACCTGGGCCAGGGCTGTGCAGTGGGCCAGCAGCAGCCACAGGCCTGACTATTTCCCACTCAGTGCTCACTTTGTTAGCGGCAAGGTGGGGTGGGCACCCCCTGCCCCCTCTCGCCTGATCTGAGACCCTGCCTGTTCTCCATGCAGTGGAAAAACGCTGCCATTTCTTTCCAGGGCCTGAAGCCTGTGCGGGTGACTCTGGAATGATTCACGAGGGCCTGGGTGGGATTTTCCACTCCACGCTGCAAACAACGGGGCCTCTGAGAGGGCTCAGAGTGGAGGGGAGGGGAGCGGGGGCTGCAGGCCTGTCTGGGGGAGGTGGACAAGGCCTGGGCTTGGGGCTCACGCAAACAGAGCCATGGAAACAACCAAGCAGCCACTCTGGGCTTCCCCCAAGGGTCCTGGCCTGAACAGCCAGACCTAGGGGAACCCCAGTCCATGGAACAAGTCCACCCTTGTATCCAGCTGCAATAGCCTGCCTGCCAAGCTTTGCAGAAGTGAGTCCTGGCTGGCATGGCCCCTGGCAGCAAGCAAGGAGAGGTTTCACAGGCCTGGGATTGGGGAGATCTGAGTCCAATCCCCAGGGTGCTGCTAACTGCTGGGTGACCCTGAATGATGACCTTTCAGTCTCTGGGCCTCTGCTCAGTGCCTATGGCCTAATGGAGGGTGGGTAAAGGGATGGCAGGGGATCTCAAGGCCCTCCTATCTCTGACCATCTGAGCTCATGATTATTTCCAAGAGTAGCCCATGGGGCATTGAGCCTTGTCTCTGTCTTAGGGAAGGGCCTACTGGATCAGGGCTTCTCAGGATGGCCTTGAGCAAGTCACCTGGTCTCCCTATGCCTCTAGGCCTCAGTTTGTCTAGCTGTAAAATGGGGATATAATATCCATCTTCCCAGATAACATGTGTGTGTGCTGGTTATTGTCCGTTTGCTCCCCAGATCCATCCTGTGCCCTGGGAAGCTGACCTCTACAGGATGCACCCCCTGGCTTCCTTGCTCTCTGTTTCTAGCTGGATTTGACCAATAAGAAGCCCCAGCAAGAGAATGAAGAATAGGAGAGTAGGTGGGGTATTTTTCTCCCTGCTGTGCTGTAGTTTGGCTCCAGCTCCTGCTGCAGATCCATTTCCAGACCCCTGTTCCTGTTTTGACTCTCACTGGGTTCAGGCAACACCTTCTCCTCCCCTTGTACCTGCAAGTCTTCCCCAGACCCAGACCTCCTGCATTTCATTAACTCCTGCTGGATTCTTTGATGCTGTGTGTGCCTCTGTAAATAGTCTCTTCCTTAGACTCTCCTCAGTTACCCTATTCTCCACCTGGAGCCATAGGAAACAGCATGCAAATGGCTTAGCACAGAGCCTCTTACAGCAGGAGCTCAAAAACAATATGCTAAAGATGAAGTAACTGCCCCCCACCATTCGCCTAGGTTCTAAATGATACCAGTGTTAAGGGTGAATTTCTCAATATCTAGTCCCAGTTCCTAATCAACAGTATGGAGGCCCTTCTGTGCCCAGACCTTCCTGGTTCTCTTAGTGCAACAATGCCCCTTCCTCAACCATCAGCACATCAATAATCAGCCATACAGCCAACTGGGATCCAGATTCTGGTGCTGGGTGTTTTACATCTCTCATCTCAATCCACACAACAACCCTGGAAAGGTAGGTGGTACCACGTCCCCATTTTACAGAGGCAGAAACTGCAACTCAGAGAGGTTAAGTGACTTTCCAAAAGTCACACAGCACCTGGCACTTAGAAGGCACTGAATCAACATTTGTTGAAAGAATGAAAGGCTGGCTGGATAAGGGGATAGTTCAAACCCAGGTCATTCCAAATCCAAAGTCCATGTGCTTTGGACTCCCTGTGGCCTCCTGACCCCATTGCCAGCAGAGATCTGTGTAACCTCAAGGAGCCTGGCCTGGGAGTCAGAACAACCTGTTTTTTATAAGGATCGAATTCTTTCACTCATTTCACAGATAGTCATGGAGCATCTGCTGTGAGCCAGCCCTTCATCTGGGTCTCTCTGAGGTGACGTTTGCAAAAAGTGCAAGCGTGTGCAAATGCCAATGGCCTGATCATGAATAAATAAGGCCTTGACTCGCCTCCTCCCAGGCATGGGGCTTCTGTGCAGCTTCTGTGCAGCCTCTGTGAACCACAGCCTCCCCACCCCTACTCTCCTGGGGCCAAGCTCAGCTTTTCCATGCTCCCCCCCGCTCCTGGGGCTCCCACAGAGCTCCCTCCCGCAGTGGCTACAACTTCTGGCAGGCCTAGGCCCAGAACTCTGTCTCAGCCTCTGCCAGTCTGTCTCATGCCCCTCGAGAACCATGCAGAACCAGTCGAACACAGCCATGGCACCCCTCAGGCTCTGAAAGGTCCCACAGTCACTCCTAAGGAGGGAGTTCTTCCAGTGCCATGTCACAGAGGGGAGAGAGCCCCAGCAAGAGGAAATAAGTTTCCCAAAGTCACCCAGCAAAAACAGACCTCCAAGGCCGCCTTGGACATCACCCAACTTGCTTCCCCACAGGAGCTGGGAGCTATTATTATCTCACTTTCTGCAGAAATTGAGGCTTACAGTCCCCCAGACTGGGGACAATTGAGCCCCATGCCCCAAGCAGCACAACTTCAGCTCTGCTGAATTAGATCTTAAATGTGTTGGGGGTTGGTGGCAGATAAGAGGATAAGAGGACAGAAGGAACATGCGTTCTTGTCACTGCTGCTCAAAGATGCCACTTCAAATATGTAATTTCTGGTATGTGGTAAAATATAAATGACCAGTTTGCCACCTGTTACACAGTGGACTAGACAAAGCTTCTAGAAGCTTCCTGGTTCCTACTGAGTGAGGCTGAGTTCCAAACTGGGAAAGGGTGGGCTTAGGGGATGGTGTGGGGCATGAGGCAGGATGCCACTTGAGCAGACTGGCATCCTCCCTCTTGCCCTCATCTGTCCAGGGTTGGAGCAGCAGGAAGAACCAAGGCTCTCCCTGGAATCAGGGGCCTGGAATTGTATCTCAGTCCTGCAAGAACATGCTGGGTGCCCTTAGCCAAGTCTCTTGTCCCTCTGACCCTTTTCCTCTCATCTGAGCAGGGATTAGCACACACCATGCCTTCCTAGTTCCTGTGAGGTCCTAAAGGGAGATGTCATTCATGTGGAAGGAACTCATGAACTTAACGGTATAAACATGGAAGATTTTTTAGATGTTGAGCTCTTCCTCTGAGGCCAAAGACAGGGCCTGACACATCTCTGAAGCCCCTGGACTCCTGGCCAAGTCCTAGGGTCTCAGAGTGGATACTTGGTGGGGGTGGAAGGAATGTGGTGGTCTTGGAGACTGGAGCTGGAGTGTCAACTTCAGTTCTGCCTCCTGCATGCTGTGTGCCCTTGGGCAAGTCCTGGCCCTCTCTGGGCATTCTCTAGGCACCTTGCCTGCCCAGTCAGGAGGGTTAAACTAAATGATCACTAAGCACCAGAATCTTCTTTGATCATGGGTAGCTCAAGGAGATCTGGAAGGAGGCCTCACCTGCTGCTGACCCACATCACCAAATCCTGGGGGGAAGTATGTGGCTTAGGCATCCAACAGGCCCAAAGGCTGATTCCACACCCTAAAAAGACGTTCCTGTTCCAGTTCTGCTGGCTTGGACATGCTGTCTTTTCTCTCCATACCATACACAGCCTTGGGAGGCAGGGTTGGCTTCCTCCACTCAGGGGTGGAGACCCTGAACCTCACCACACTCTGTCAGTAGGGCACAATTCACTCCCTCTTGACCTCATGGCCAGCAAGCCCAGCACCCACAAAGCTTGGGAAGCTGAGCTTCAGGGCCCAAGGGCACCTGGTGCTGAAGTCAGTTTGAGTATCCTGGAGGGATGAACAGAGTTCTTCCAGCTTTCCTCAGCCCCCAACTCTCTGCCCTGCCAATTTCAGAACACTGGACTTGAGCAGAACATTGACATAATTGCAAAGCAATGCATATAATTTCCATAAGTTCTACAATATGGTTATAATAAAAATGGGCCCTTGGTCCCCTTGGAGAGAGGCTGAATAAATATTATTCCTAATGATTATGAAAACTCATTAAGTGTGTTTGTAAGGCCCAGGAATTCCCAGCATCTGCCACTGTCTCCACATCGTAGGAAGCCTAAACTCAAACCCAGAGCCCAGGGGGAGACCCAGCTCCATGGGGGAAACCACACGGTAGTCATCTCAAGGCAGAACAGAGCTGAGGCTGGAGCATTCAGGGAACTCCATCCCATCATTCCCCACCCGAAGGAATTGGCCTCCAGCTGCAGAAAGGTCGTTGCCCTGGGAGACAGTCCCAGGCGCACTGGAGGCATCAACCCTGAGAACATCCCTGCACGTGGAATGTTCTTCCTCCTTTCTTTGACTGCTCTAGCCCACCCCGACCCTCCTCACCCCAAACTCCTCTGCCAGGCATCATAAATCAACATCTGCCAGAGCTACCAGAGCCAGACAGGTAACAGAAACAGGTGAAAGGGGGTTGGAAGAGCCAATGGGAAGACATGGGGAGGGGTACAGACGGGAGTGGGCCTGGCCTGTCCTGCCTCAAGGGGCAGCCCTGACCTGGCCACAGACCGCAGGCCACTGCATCTCTCCACCTTCCAAGAGAAGCTGGTCACCAGGTCTTTTATAAGAAATCTCTCACATTTTTTAAATATTAGTAACTATTAAATGTTTCTAAACAATGCTGCATGTGCCAAATAAAACACATTCAGGACTCCCCATGTGTGACCTTCGTCCAAAACTCCAGACATGCTGGTGGGACAGAGGAGCTCACTCCAGGAGTCAAGAGAGTGGCCTTTGGAAGCTGGAGGACCTGGGGTCAGTGGGTTAAGGGCTTTCCTTAAGCCTTTCACCCTTTATAGTTGGGCTGCCTGGCCTGGGCCAACCAAAGCCCAGGATTGCTCTTCACATGGGGGTAGCCACCAGAGCCAAGTCTGCCCCTGTGGATCATGAATCCAGAACAGGATGTACAATCACGACCACAGCAGTGGTGGGCTGGGGGACCCAGGTTTGAGTCAAGACTCTGTCCATAACCAGCAGCAACCACTTGACCTAAATGCCCCAGTCACCCATTTGAGCTCCAAGTGACAGGCACACCCCACCCAGTCTTACCGGCAAACCACAGTCTCCCTTGGGCCCTGGAGGTCCCATCAGCAGCGGGAAAGGCGTAGGTCCTGCCAGGTGGAAGAATGAATAGCCACTGCTTGTGGGCCAGGGGCTGGAGGACAGCAATCGCGCTGGGGCCAATGCCGGGGCTGGGGTGGTCAGCTGGCCAGGCCAGGGCTGTCTGGAGCTGGGCCCAGTTGTCGGATCGTTCAACAGGACATCCCTGGCTGCTTTCCCGGATTTGAGGGGGCCGGGCTTCTGGCGCCTGCTCTTGGACCTCGTTTTCTTTTTGGCTTCTGATCCAGTGGACTTCTTTCTTCCAGCAGGGGCTGAACCAGGAGTGAGGGTGGGAGGCATTGCTGTGGCCAGTGGCCGAGCAGTCCTGGTAGACCCAGGCCTGGGGGCAAGTGATGTGGGCAAAACAGTGGGTTGGGAAGATCTGTGTGCACTGGTGCGGGCAGCAGCTGGCTCAAAGGCACGACTGCTTATCTTGACCTCAGCATGGACAACTGAGGCAGAGGGCTTTTTAAAGGGTTCAGCGGCAGGAGGTAGGGGCTGGGTGCTGGGTAGTGGTGGTCTGGGCATAACAGGGCTCCTCTGGATCGACTTCACTAGGGGACGGGAGAATCTGGCAGGAGCTGGGTGGGAAGTGGGTGGCACTGGCTTCTCGGTGGCTGGGGCTGACTTTGTGAAGGAAGGCTGAGTTGCCGTCTGGGTGGGGTGGGAGCTTTTGACAGGGGCAAGTGAAGAAGGGGCTGAAGGCCTGGTTGGGTGACTTTTGGGGATTTTGGTGGCTGCGCTCTTCCACAATGGCTGGACAGGTGTGGTGGAGCCGACAGGAGAGGCTGGGGGTATGGGAGGAAGCACGTCACTGGTTGGCTGCTTGGCAGCTAGGGCCCCCGCTGTGACACGCTGGTGAGGGTCTGTGGAGCTAGTCCTTAGGGGCTTGGCAGGTGTGGTGGCCACCACAGTCACCTTGGGCCCCCTGTCTGCTGGCCGTGACCCCAGGGCTGGCATGACAGTGGTCAGGTTCTCCAGGCCTAGCAGGGCAAGGTTGGTCTGGAAGGTGAAGAGTGTGCCAGAGTCGCGGTGGGGGAGGGGTCCCAGCTGGGGCCGGTATGTGTCAGCCTGTCCACACTGCTTTTTCAGGAGGGTACAGTAATTGTGAGCAACCTGCGCCACAGGGTAGATACTGAACTGGCACAGGGCACCTTCAAACTGGACCGCGTGGAGGCTCATCTTCCCAAAGAGAAAGGAGCCCTCGGGGTCAAGTGCTGGGTCCCTGTGGAAAGCCAGAGGGGCAGGCACCCGGCGCTGCCCACAGGCTGTCACCAGGGTAACTGTGCGGCCATGGAGCTCCAGGGCTAGGTGGTGCCAGCGGCCGTCATGCACGTCTAAGTCGAAGGCCACAGAGCGCCGACGCCCCAGGTGAACCACTGTCTTGCCAGGGAGGAACTGCAGGCCCAGCTGCAGCTTGTGTTTCCGGCTGCGGACGGCGAAGAGGAAGGCATGGTTCACGCGGTGGGAGCAGAGGCTCAGCACTAGCGCCAGCTCTGTGCCCAGGGCGGCAGGAATGATGGTGGCCAAAGGGGCCTGGAGCCGGGCATGCTGCGTAAAGATGAAGCCCGACTGGAATGGAATGACTCCTGGGGGTGGAGGGGGGCTCCGGTCGCCCACTGCCTTTGTCCAGCTAAGGCCCAGCCGCTGGAGAACGTCCACATCTGGAGAGGGAGGGCAGAAGGGGAAAGGCACAGTTAGGGCCTGCTCCGGCTCCAGTCCCCCGAGGGCCCAGGTGATGATGATGGCACGGTGGGAACCAATCCCTTGTTTGGCTGCGTGATCTTGCATACAGCGATTAAAGACACACACACAGACTCTGGAGCCAAACTTTCTGAGTTCAAATCCCAGTTCTACCACTTAGTAGCTCTGTGACTTTAATGCCTCCCATTTATTAGGTAGGATAATAATACCAAACTCAGGAGGAAGTTGTGAGGATTGAATGAGCTGATACACTTGAAAAAAAAGTGCCTGGCACAAAATAAGCACTTTTGAATGATAGTTATAATACAAAAAATAGTGGTAATCACCAAATGGGGCTAACACTACCAGTATTAGAGGCTGCCCACCATGACTTGTATCCCCCTTCTCTGCCTTGAAAACTGTCTCATCCAGGAAGCACACCCATGAGTGACAGAGCAGGATGACAGGAATGGACGTGTCGCCAGAGGTTGGTAAGGCTGTCCAGGGGGCCTGAAAGGCTGTGCCACCTTTAGGAACCTATCCAGTCTCCTTCCTTCCCGCAAGGTCTCTCTCTGGCCACAGCAGGCGGGGGCGCTTCTATCTGCACAGACGGCAGAGGACATTCCCAGTGACTCCCTTCCTCCCTGTGCGGCTTTGGAGAGGAGAGAGGAAGTCATCAGGCATCCCTACAACCTCGGTCTTCTGGCGAAGTGTTCGGACATTTGACCGTGGTCTGGCCAGGTCACATCCGCCTAGGAATTATGCTGTCGGGGCTCGCCAGAACGAAAGGAGGGCTTCCAGGGTGTTTATGGAAAGGCTTCCCGACCCTGCCTCTCGCCAGGTCATTAGACCTCCTTCAGTCAGCTGAGTTGCCAATGCCTGCAGAAGCCAGCTTCAGAGCTCCATGTTGGCAGGAAAGGAGAGGCTGCCTCTGGAACCAGGGTGTGGGTCAGGTCACCAGGGCCCCTCTCCCCTGAGCTCAGCAACCTAGCCCAGAGTGTGGAATGCTCTCCTTCCCTTCCCACCCAGCGCCAGGGGTGTGCAGTGAGCTGACTGCAGCACTCAGCACTCAGTAGGCCCTCAGTGGACAAGGGTGAGATGGACAGACAGATAGAGAGATGGGCTGGGAGAAACTGCAACGTGGGTGCTGGCAATATAGATGGCTGTGGAGTGAGAAGGCCAGACTTCAGAGGCAGACAAGACCACCCCTGAGTCTGAACTCTGAGCCTCAGTTTCCTCAGCCCTAAAACGTGGGCTCTGAAGAGTATCTACATCATAGACTGCTGGGAGATGAAATAGCGGTCTTCCTTATCGTCCTTGCCCATACCCTGCACTAGGTACACCTCTGGACAAGCCTCTTCCTGACCCCAGGGCCTCAGTTTCCCTGCCTGTAAGACAAGGGACACCAGACCTGGAGATGGCCACAAAGTGCTAACAGCATTCTGAGAACTCCATAGCTGCAGGCTGCTGTTCCAGGCTGGCTTGGACTGAAGATGCTTACTCCTCCCTAGGACCCCAGAGTTTTTATTTCACTTCAAATTCCTCCTTTCTCTCACCTCTGTCTCCAGGTCCTAAACTAAAAAGCTAAAATAAACCACTGCTTATGGATTCTTAGTAGTGGATTCTTTTGTTTTCATGATTGAAACCCTCTTATTATCACAAAACACTTCTCATTATAAACAACTTGCAAGGGAGGAGCCACACATTGGGGAAAAGGTAAGGGCAGGGAGCCACTTTTCCACTCCCTTTGTTCCATGTCGGCAGCCCCTGGGAGACCCCCAGGCCCACATACATCTGTCTCTGCACAGTGCAGCTTACAGCTACTTGCACTTGCTGGGAGAAAATGACAACTGGATGGGCCAGGCGGCATGGTTGAGGGTTCCCTTATTGTCCTGGGTGGGTTTCAAAGCTGATACTGGCAAGTGTCCAGGCCTCCCCTACACAATGTCTGCATCTCAGAGGCAAAGCCCTGAACTGTGATACCTAGAGCCGGCAGACATGGTTATCACTGAGCTTCTGGGAGCCTCTGACCACTGCAGGCTCCACAGGGACTAGAGAAGGGCTATTTTGCCCAGACTTTTCAAGTAAATAATATAATTCATGACAATAATAAAAGCTAATATTTACTGAACACTTACTATGTTCTAACTGCCCTAACGTGCATTATCTTGCTTGGTTCTCTCAATCATCTATGACACAGGTACTATTTATTACCCCACTTTATAGAAGAGGGTAAAAACAGGGAGTTATAATAACAGACCCAAGGCTACACAGCCTACATAAAATACACAACTGGGATTTGAACTGACAACACCTGTCTCTAGGGTCCTTATTCTTAACCACTATGCTATACTTTGCTGGAGTTTCTCAGATTCATTGGAAGGCAGGGTGGAGACAACAGCCACAATCCCATCAGGGGTGAGGAGCTGGGGTACAGGGGAATGAACGCAGCTCAACGCCAAGTTGGAAGGACCCAGCCAGCTGGCCATAGCAAGATCCCTTTATTACATAAACCTGGCTCCACACAGCTCCGGCCTCTCCCCAACCCAACCCCTACCCCCGCTAGCCCCACCCCCTCCAGTGCCTGACTCAGGACTCTGGACAGCTGTTCACCTACTTTGTGGGGGAAACAACAAGCTCGGAAAATATGACATTTGCACAAAATGTTGCCAGGCAGCAGGAGTCTCTTCCGGGCATGGCCCTCCCCTCCCAGGGGCCCAATCCCTGCCCTGCAGCCAGGTCAGGCCACAGGGGCTCTGGGAGTGCCTGGCTGCTGGCCCGGACCCATACCCACCCATACCAGGGCGAGCGTGGAGAAAGGGGAGGGCCGATATTTTAAGAGGCACTATGGCTACTCAACAAACAGATGTGGGGGAGGTTTCAGTTTCCACAGGCAGCTGTGTAGCCAGCCCACCACCGCCCTGGACCCCTGGACAGCTCCTCTGGGATGGTAGGGAAAAGCAGGATCTCATGGGAAGGGGTGGAAGGATCACAGGCTTGGGCAACAATAGTCGTGGCCTTCGGGCCTCCTCTTAGCATTTCTTGGAATACCCATTGGACAAATAGGGACAACTCAGGCCTACTGAACCAAACTGACTTACTCAAATTCTGCCCTGAATAGGAACTGAAGGCCCCCCCTTCCACGCTTCTGTACTGAGCCCTTCCTGCCCCTTACAAAACTTCAGATGGGATACTTTCAAGCCCACAGAGAATTTGTCAAGAATTGGCCCCATTTCACTGATGAGAAAACTGAGGCATTGAATTCCAGTTAGGGGCATAGATGTATCCTACGCCTGAGTTCTCAGGTCCCTTCTGTCCTTCTTCATCTCCCCGGGGACAAAAAAAAGAGAATTACCTTCAGGAGCTCCTTGGGTGAAGGCCAGGTGACAGGCAAATGAGACTAAGATCCAGGTGAAGAGAAACCCCCTAGAGACCAGGAGACACAAGCAGAGGAGGCATCAGCTTCTGCCCTCAGTCCAGATCTGGCTGTGGGAGTTGGGAGTAGATCACATGGCCCCAGGACACCCCTTATCTCGATCACAGGAGGCAGGAGACAGGGTGCAGGGTCTAGGACCCCATCAGTGCAGCCCACACTCCCAGGTCTCTGCACAGCCTCTCAGGGCAGGACACGCTCACAAAGGACACATACAACCTTGCTTTTTACAGATCAATAAACCAAGGTCATGGGGCAGGAAACCCTGCCCTGCGTGTCAGGAGACCTAGGGTCCAGCTCAAAATCTGCCACTGGCTCACTGGGCATTGAGTGACAAGCCCCGCCACTTCTCTGGGCCTCAGTCTCCCCATCTGTATTATGGTTTCATGGTCTTGAGGCCCCGTAGATGGCAGGGTCAGGGATGAAAGTGAGAAAACCAGACTGGTCTGCTTGGATGACCACTGTCCTCAATGGGCAAGAGAGATGAGAACTCACTCTCCAGACCCAAGCCAGGGAAGGGGAGAAGACCCCTTAACCAGGAGCAGTGTGTGCTGAGGGAGCTGCATACCCTGGCTTTATGCTGGTGGAAAATGGGAGGGGAGAAAAGGAGGAGAGGATGGGGAGACAAGCAGATCCAGGCACAAACCTGGCATCACTGCTTACCAGCTGTGTGACCATGGATGAGTTACTCAGCCTCCCTGAGCCTGTCTCCTCTGCAACATGGCTGACACTCCCTATCTTGCAGGCCAGGCATGAGGATTAAATGAGCTCACGCATGTCAAGGGCTCAGCCTGGCGCCAGCCACAACAGTACTCCTTAGACAGTCCCTGCTGCCCCCACACTCTGGGTCCCGGAAGGGCTAATGCTCTGCTCAGTGGCTCCTGCCAAGATGGACAGAGGCAGTGATCCAATTTCGCCTTCCTATGGGAGCAGCCACCAGGGACACCTGCAGCCACTTGGGGCATCTGATCCCCAAGCAGGCAAAGGGGAAAGCGGCACATGGCCAGAGATGCCCAGCCGGAATGCAGGTGGAAAGAGTCACAACAGGCAGTGGTGAGGGCTAAGGCTGGAACATGCAGGCCCAAGATCCATTTCCAAGAGGAAAGCTAGGATGATGTGCTTCTGGGGAAACACGTAATCCAGGAAACCCATCTGCCCGGGTTGATGTCTGGAAAATGGGGTTTTTCCCAGTATCCTGGGCACAATGGAAAACAAATCCACATCCTCTGATTTAATAGCAATTACTCCAATTTAATTGCAATTATAATTAATAGTAATCCTGACCTGGGCACTGTGGAAGACACCACTGGTTACCTACTCACAGCCATGCCCCCTTCCTGCTTGTTCAGGCATGCGTGGGCTTCAGAGGGCACTGGATAAATCTGGGTAAACCTAAGCAAATCCTCAGAATTTCATTTGCCATGCCAGTGACTGGTTTAGGCACATATATATGACCCAAATGTGGCCAATAAGATGAGAGGAATATCTGTTAGGGAAAGTGTTTCAAAGGAACAGAGGGTCTTTGCATGTTGGGAATGTGGTGCTATTGCAGCCATTTTGTGCACATGAGGTAAAAGCCCCATGAGCGCATGAGGATGGCAGAATGGAAAAAGAGTGGGTGTTGATGACACTTGAAATGCTGAATTAGCCAACCTTATTCCTGATTTTCCTTTAGACCTCTGGATATGGTAGGTAATAACTCCTCTTACTGTTAAAGCCACATTGAGTTGATCTTCAGTTACTTTCAGAATAAAGCAAACTAGCTGATAGCTCTCATATGCTGATGGTAGTTCCTCAAAAGCTTTCTCCAGCCTCTGAGCTTTTGCACATGCTGCTCCCTAGGGACCTAGATACCACTCTTTGCCTGGTCAGTTCCCACACATGCATGAGATTCCAGCTTGGTGTCACCTCGCACAACCCACTGTACCTACTTCACCACAGCGGGTATCCCACGTGTGGTCACTGCCTATTTTCCTGTTCCCATTTCTAGTACAATTCCCTGAAGGGTAGGGACCATATCAGTCTTATTCACTCTTGTATTCCAGCACTTGACATGCACGTAGTAAGTGTTCAGCATATTTTTGTAGGACGAATGAATATTACCTGGTATTTCACAACTCTGGACTTTAAAAAGTGTCTTCCCAAAGCCTTAACTCCAACAGCTCTCCCTCCCCATCTCTGACTTTTTCCAGGGTTGCTCCTGGATAACCCCTGGTCCCTCAATTCCTCTCCAATATGCTACCACTGCTGTGAGAATGCCTTTTACACAGGGCCAGTCCTCCCTGCCACCTGGACCTCACCTCTAGCTCACCTCCGCCAACATTAAAGGTCAGAGTGCTTAGCTGCCCTGGCATTGCCTGGGGAGTAGGGCAGAGGTCCACCAACCCTTCTCACACAATCTGTTCACTGGAAGTAAATGGCAGCCCCATAAGCCCCAAAAAGAAATGATAGGCAGTTCTGTTTGGTTTGACAAAAACTGACGCTTAGGGAGGGAAGGGACTTCCTCAAGGTCACCCTGGTCAGGCTCTGGGGTCATAATTCTCCAGTACTATTTCCCACATGCACCAGGTCGCCACTCCAGGAAACGGTGGTTAGATCGGTGAGGAAGAATGGATTCCTGCATGTCAGTCTGGGCAAGTTCCAAAGCACAGCTGTGCACCACAGGCCTGAGAAGCCCTCCGACAAGGACCTCAACTGCACTTCCGGTCACTCAGCAGTCACTGAACTCAGAGGATGAGAGAACTCATTTTTCCTGAGAACGCCTCCTTAGAAGATACTGCCTTCGCTTCCCATGTTCCTGCAACTTTGCTAGTTCCTTTCTGTTCCCTTTCACTCTCTTCCCTCGCCTTTCCAGGCACCAGTCTGAATTCCTTGAGGCTCTCATTGTGTTATGTCAAATCCACCCTTCCTAGGATGCTTTCAGAGCTGATAAAGAGAGGCCAGGTGGAGATGAGAAGGTGCAAGAACCATACATGTCCTCAGTCAATTGTTCTGGCCATGGTTATGCCAAGATGACTATTCTGTAGAGAATAAAGAGGATACACTGAGAGGAGATATTTTGAATCCCTAGAAGTCAGAAGAAAGAAGACTCACAGGCAAGATGAGGTCTCAATCTTTTCTTCAATTAAGCTTCCTAACACCATAGTTTTTAACTTGAGAATTTCAGCCCTGAAGACCTGGTACAAAAGTATTTGATCCTCATTCATTCACTGCGAGAAATGCAACTGATCCTCTCAGATCTGGATTCTCTGTGCACTTGACCCATAAACTGCCCAAGAGTGGGACTTTATAGCGGGAGAAGTCCTTGGACATCATCTAAAGGCCAGATTGTAGAGATGGGCAACTGAGGCTCAGAGAGGGGAAGTGACTTGCCCAAAGCCACACAGCATGGCAAGGACCTGTATCATCTCTGTACTATTTAGCAGACAGTCCTTTTCACTTGACTTGTCTCCCACGGAGATGAAATCAGAGACTTACAGGGACTTCCTACTTGCCGTAAACCAGCAGCCTTCACCAACAGGAACAGAGATGCAGCCTGGAGAGCCAACGAGCCATCTAAGTAAGCTCCAGGCCTGGAAAGTTGGCTCCTAGAGGGAGGCCCGACCGATTCTTTTGCTCCTGTTCCAATCCTGTTTAGGCTACTGCTAATAATGTTTAGTGCCTGCGCTGGCTCAGAGCATTGTTCTTCCAGACTTCTGTTTTCACCGCTGACTCGTGGGCCTTGGCTCGGCAAATGCTGGCCTCCAGAATGTTGGGAGACCAGAGCACAAGGGCCAGACTGGGCAGGAGGCAGCAGAAATGGGAGCCCCACATTAGGGAGCCTGAACTTTGAGCCACAGTCTGGCCACACAGCCCTCCAGGAAGGGAAACCAGGTGTTCCTCTTCCCTGCAGAAGGCCCTCTGCCAGTACACCAAGTGTGGCTATTCCTGGACCACTCGGCTGCCAGAACCTGCAGCTGGTCTGCAGCTTTTCCTCCAGCCTAGTACCTAGGGACACACAGGATTTCTGAGACCCATATCAGCTGGAACATCACTGAGCACTCAGAGCTGAGACCCAGGGCATTAAACATACAAGGAAAGCAACCCTGTGGACTTGGCTTGGCTGTGTTCCCCTGGGGTAAGCTGGGAAGGATGTTGAGCAGAGGGCCACAGAACAGCAAAGGAGCATGGACCTGTGCCACCTGCCTCCATGGGCTTGCCAGGCCCCATGTGCCCAGACAGCCATGCCCATGCTCCTTTCTTCACACCTTACACCTCTTCCGTGGGAACCCAGACAGGTCATCTGTCTGGACAGGATGCAGCCCAGAACTTTCCAGTTGACTCACATATCCATTCAAGATGAAGTGAATAATAATACAAATTAACAGCTGCCATTTATTGAACACTTACTATATGCCAGGCATCCTTTTAAGCCCTTTACAAGAATGGTTCCATCAATCCTCACTAGCTATGAATTAAGATGCCCATTTTATGGATGAGAATTCCCGGAAGCAGAGAGGCAAGCAGCTTGCTCAGGCTGGTAGGCCAGAGTCAGGATTCACACTAACCCCTCTGCCCTGCAACCTGCCTCCTGCCGGTGTGTGAGCCTGGAGCATTTTGCTTCCGACCCATTACCACCACCTGATAAGGCACTTCAGTGTGCCCAGCCAGGTAAAGGTGGAGTGTGCTCAGAGACGGACAGAGAGAGGGTTACATATGGAGGGCAAGGGCAGCCCCCCATCCCCACCCCACCCCAGTGTGCCACCAGGGAAGTTGACAGCTATTGAGTTGAGCTTTGAGGAATAGCAGAGTATAGGGAAGCACGTGGGAGGGGAGTGTTCTGAGCACAGGAGAAAAGGGAAGGAAAGAAGAGGCCAGGGATGTGCTCCAGTGTCAGGGAGCCTGGCGTGGGAGAGGTGCAGAGGAACAAATCAGGAAGGCAGGGTCTGGGACACTGTGGCGGAGGGGGCGGGGAAGGCAGCAAGACAGAAGGCAGAGGCTGGGTCTCAAAGCAGTGTGACTGCCCACTTGCCCAAAGCTTGGGCCCCACTATGGGGTGCTCTCCTGGCACTGCTCTTCTGCCCAACCACTGGCATCTGCCTTGGCACTGGGTCTCCTGGAGAAAATGAGTCAGCAGTGTGCTTACTGGTGCTGTGTGTGGGGTGTGTGTGTATGTGTATGTGTGTTTTGTGGTAGGGGGTGGGGGAATCTCAGCCAGCCTGCTTTTTCCAAGACATGGGGAAGAAGGGGGAGCTATCATCCCCCTGATTCCAGCTCAGAGGGGGCAGGGCATGGTGGGGTAGGGTGGAGCTACAGCCCTGACCAGCCTCTTGGGAATGTTCTCTGATCCTGGGGGCAGGACAGACAGGGAGCAAGTTCTGTGCTTCACTGGGCAGTGAGCGTTAAGCCACAGTCCCTAGGGCCCTGAGGGGCTGCTCCCAGCCGGCTCACTCCCACACACACCCACAGCCAGTGCCTCTATCCTGCACAGCTCACAGTCTTAACAACTACTCCACTGGGAGTCTCCGCTGAGGGCGGGGATCAACATGCAGCCAAGGGGAAGACAGTTCAAGGAATCAGTCCCGGGGCTCCAGCTCTGTGGCAGCCCCTCCCTGGAGATTCCCTGCCCTCTGGCTCTGGGTCTCTGGATGTGCACAGTGACTCGATGATGGCTCAGGGCCCTTTCTGCGCTGACATGCTGGCTCTCACTTTTTCTCTCACACACACAGGAAAGCGACAGGAACTGGGACACCTCCCCCACTTCTGCCCCCCACAGAAGCAGGGAAACACTGAGATATACAAACCCAACAGACCGACACAAACGCAGAGGTTTCCAAAAACAGGGGACGTGCAAAAACACACAGACACTGAGGCAGGAGCAGAAGCCAGAGACCCGGAGACCTAGAAACTTGCGGACAGTTTCACAAAAACAGAGAGAAACAGAGACTTACAGGCTCGGGACCTGTAGACACCAACACCGGAACACACCGAGACAGCCAGAAATGGAGACCCTTCCTCCCCCAAGCATCCGAAAGCCCCCCCTCCGCCCCACGCCGGCTGCTCCAGGCGCCACCACCCACCCCCAATCCCGACCCCGGGACTGGCTCAGCGCGGACCCTCCCCAGCTCGGCCTCTCGCCCCAAGGCGGGCTAGGCGGGGCAGGGCAGGCAGCGCTCGCCAACCCTCGCTGGGTCGGGGGCGCAGCCCGCGTTAACCCTTGGCGGTCCGCCGCGCAGGGGCGCAGGAAGCTGACGCTCCTCTGAAAGCGTCCGGCGCGACGGGGAACCCCAGCCCTCCCCGAAGCCGAAGCACCAGGAAGCCGGGGAGGGGGCGTCCCCGAGCTCGTACTCACCCCCGGCGCGCCGCCACCGCCGCCGCTGTGCCTCGGGCCCCCCGCGCCGATCCCGCTCCCATGGCGGGCCCCTACTTCATGCTCCCGAGCCCGGGGGGCAAGAGTGGGCGCGCCCCATGGGGCCGCCAGCCCCCCGCGCCGCCTCTCCAGGCCGGCTCAGAGCGCGCGGCCCCCGTTCCCGCAGCGCAGCCCGGCGCCTCGGGGCGCCAGAGCAGGCAGGCAGCGCGGCTGGGGCCCCGCGGGCCCCCGCACCGGGCCCATGGTCCCAGGAGTCCGGCGCCGCGCTCGCCCCTGCCTCGCTCTTCTGCTTCCACCGAAAAGGACGAAGAAGCAGGGGGAGAAAGGAGAGATGATCAAACTTTTGGAAGCGGGCTGCTGGCGGTCCCCGGAGGCAGAGCGGGGCCGAGAGAGGGCGCGCAGAGGGCGGTGGAAGCTGCCTCCCCGCCGGCCTGGGGGAGGAGAGGAAAGGAAGGATTTGGGGGAAATGAAGGCGATTTAAAGTCTCGGCCCGCCGTGGCTCTCCACCTCTCCTCCCCACGCTGGGCCGCCCTCTGCTGCCCCCTGCTGCCCCCTGCCGGCCGCATCCGGGGACACAGCCTCGGCCGGCCGGACAGTCCCTCTGAGACGCCCCTACCCACCCACCCTGTAAAGAGGGAGAAACATTCAAAGAAAGGAGAGAGTTGGCTATGGCTGCACAGCGAGTTGGCCAAGGCTGCACCGAGGGATGCTCACAGTTCGCAGATTTGGGACTTCTAGCTGGTGACACTCGGGGTCCCGGAGTTGGGGAGCGGAGATAGAGGAAGAAAGGGAACAGAAAACACTGCTGAAAGGAATCCAGAGTTCCAAGGACAGACCTGGTACCAGGACTCAGTGTCCAAACTCCCAAGACAACGACAGCCAGTGTCCTACCACACACACACACACTCACGCACACACACGCACACACAGTACACACCCCTTTTTTCCTCCCAGATTCAGATGGCTGGCAGAACAGACTTTCCGGGGTATGCAGTGGATGGGCTGTTTTAAATGTTGGTGACCATCTTCTCTCTTCCCTCCCCATTCAGTACGAAATGGGACTTTAACCCCCCCACCCCAACCCCCACTCCACCCCCTCCACAGCCCTTCCCCAGAGTTAACCAAAGACTCCTCAGATCCCACACAGGAGCGCAGAACTGCACACCTTGAGCCCTCCGCAAACAACCCGCAAAGTCGCACACCCACCACCCCAGTCCGAGCCCTGGCATTAAAACTCCCTCCGCCTCCACCTCCACGACTTGTTCACGGGTGCACGCACACACACTCCCGCACACATCACACTTACCCCAAACCCAGACACACGCTCAGACTTATTCACACACGACCACAGCCACGCACTCCTCCTGGACTCACACACACACGTCCTGGGAGTCTGGACTCCAGTGAACACCCGCACATACCCAAACGCGTGCACACTAGTGCACACGCATACAAATGCACACTAGCTTAGAGCCAGATCCCCTTCAATGTACGCACCCGTGCATACGACCCCAAGGGCACACACTCGCGCGCGCACACCCTTACTTGCATACAGCTCTCTGCTAGTGCCCACTGCACGCGTTGCACAAACGCACTCATTCGCCGCACGTGTACCCTTCTCTCCATACGCGCGCACCTGACACACACCAATTTCCCCAGAGCTCCAGGAGCCCTAGGGCACTTACTGGGTCCCTAGGTGCGAGGCTGGACGGTCGGTCCTTCCTCGGGCGCCTAACGGCATTTGTATTCATGGGTCCCCGCAGCCCCGGGCGCGGGCGCGGGGGCGGGGGTGCGGGGTCCCCTTCCCTAAACTGGGCGCTGGCGCTCGGAGCGCAGCGGCACCGGGAGGGACATGGGCGCGCGGGGCTGCGCCGCCGGCCCGGTCCGCTTGCGCTGGAATTTCGGCCGCTCTGTGCCCTCGGATTCCGTCGCGGGCTCCGGGCGCGGGGGGCGGCTCATAGGTGCACTGGCCGCGGCGCCCGCCGAGCCTTTTGAAGTCTCCGCTGGGGGCGGGGAGGGGGCGCTGAAGGCGGCCTTTTAAACGGTGGCTGCATGCGGGCTCTGTCGAGCAAGGTGTCTGGTTTCAGCAAACTTTAGGAAAAGTCTCAAGCCGAAGAGGAGGGGGCGGGGGCGGGGGGGTGGTAATGCAAGAAAGAAAATAAAGCCGCATAGCTCTGAGCTGCTTCCTGCAGGGGGCAGAGCACCCCTGGCTGCCAGGAGGGAGGCTCAGCTCCAGGCTGGGGAACCCACAGGCGGCTGGATGGAGCCTGGAATCACCACACCACCCCGCATCCCCAAGTTGAACAGGAGTTCTTAACCGCTACGTGGACGAGCCCCAGGGGGGTGCAGGAACACCCGAAAACTACACAAACTGTGCATGTTTAAGCATTCTTCTGGGTGAGAGGGGCCATTGGTTTTCCCCAGGCTCTCAGAAGTTCTCGGCTCTGGGAAGTTTAAAACACACACACAGCTGACATTTTTTGAGCTGCATACTTTGTACTAATGGCTCCTAACCTTATTTACATTTTTTATATTAATTTTGATATTTTTAAAGTATTACATTAAAATATTATGTATCTTGATCAATTAGGGTTTTTTTGGCACCCCCTTAGACATAAAACTCCATTACTGAGGGTTTGGGGCATCCCCCAATATTTGCATCCTCACTTGCCTCATCCTAGCCAGGTGCTGCATTGTGCTATGTGCCCCTGTTTATGGGAAGCCTACTATCCCCACTTACAGGTAAGAAAGCTGAGATGCTGAAAGAGTAAAAGTAACTTTCCTGAGACCTCTAAGCTGGTAGATGGTAGAGGTGGGATTTGAACTGAAGAAGTACGATTTCTGACTTTTGCAGCTCAACATGATCCAAATCTTAGCTTTTAAGGGATCCTGAACAGATCCTTGCCAGCCTTCCCAGGTTGATGTCTGTGCTGGAGCTCCATTCTGTCTGATGTCTGGATCCAGGCTCTGGGCAAGCTGGAGTACTTCAAGACCTTGTCCACGCTGTTTGCCTTAGTCCCCCACCGTTGCTTTTCTGCCTGTTCACAGCTTCTGTGCTTCTAGAAGCAGCTCAAAGCTCTGTGCCACCCATACCCATATTACAGCACACATCATATGGTGCTGTCATTGTCAGATCCATCTGTTTCTCCACACACAGCATGGAGCCTGGGACACAATAGAAGCTCAAACCATTAATAATTTAAATGAATTTCTTTGACTCCTACAGTGTGCAGACCCTTGTACAAAGCTGGGAGAAAAGTGTCTACCACTCACTATGGGAGTGAAGACAAAGAAGTTTGCACAGGTCTCTGCTTTCTGGGCACACACACAGCTATAATGTGGACAAAAGAAACACATGCACAGAAACTTGGGGCAGGGAAGACAGCCTGGAGGGAGAAAGGAGACAGACACTGTACTGTATCCAGAGAACCTCCTGCAATTGCATAAAGGTACCACAAGGAGAACATGACAGATGCACAGAGATACAAATGAATTATCAAGCAGATTAAGGGTGAAGAGAAACCAGGGAAGGCTCCCAGAGGAGGTGGCCTTTGGCTCCTGAAGGGTATTTCGGATCAACATGCAGCCATGGGGAAGACAGTAAAGTAAAACAATCACAAAAAGGCCAGGAGGGTGGGAGTAGATTTTAGGCAGGTTTTGAAGGAGGAATGAGGGAGCCACAGGCAGATGCTGTCCATTTTCCCCACTGCACCATGTGTGTGATGCCTTGTGACTCACTAGTCAGAAAGCCATTTCCAGGCAGTGTAATATATTTCCTCAAAGGTCAAACAGCAGGTCAGTGGCTGAGCACCAAGGCCTTTCCAAATCTTACTTCCAGAACTGAGTATGCAATGGTGAGTCCCAGGGAACCCTGTACCACTGAGAGCAACCCCAAAACCCCCTGATAAACATCTCAGAGCCCATGAAGATGGATGGTGTTCCCTTCTAGAGCCTCACTCTCTCCATCTGTACAATGGGTGCATCAATATGATAATCTGCAGGGGCCCTTTGAGCTTAGGAAAATGAGACTGTCATTCAACAATAAATTCAATTCTATAGATAATTACTAAGGACTAGCTACATTTTGCTAGGTTGGGAGGGAAATGGGGTTCATGGTCTTCCAGGAGCTCATGAGTCAGCTGGAAAGAGGAGACATGGACACTGATAAGAATTCTAGGGAAGAGATTTTGTTTCCTGCCTCTCTTGCTGCTTCACACCCATGTGGGTTCCTAGCACAGCACCAGTGATGGCACGGACAGTTCTGATGGGAGTTGGGTCCAGGAGACACTGAGCCACTGCCTACCCTGTGAATGGGATGGGGCACTCACCCCCAGCCAAAATGGGCCATCTTCTGTTGGGTAGAAGGTGATGAGACTGGGAAGTGGGTGGACAGTGACTACCAGTTCCCATGTGACATTTCAAGTATAAGACAGAAGGATTGGAATTCCTGGCCTGGTAGGGACACAGGGCCACAAAATTTACCCCCTGCCCTAGCAGATCATCTATGGACCTATTGCTCTCCAAAGCACATCTATCTGCCTTGAGATAAACTGTTATTCACAATAGTTACTCTCAATGGTGGACACATAGTAGGTGCTCAGTAAAGGTTTATGAATGAAACACTAGTGAAGTCTGAACCGGCAGAACAGAGGGTTGCACACTGCACAGGTATCAAGCACCATTGATTGATCCACCAAGCTTTTTCTGATAACTCACAGGGCACCGGGCTGTGCCTCCTGCTCTCCAAGCAGGCTAGTGGAGGAGACCAGCAAGGAGACAGACAGATAACGCAGGTCAGGAAGGGCTGCCTCAAATCATTCATGCTAACTAGTATTACAGAACTGGAAGAAGAATTCAGATCCCATGTACTAGTCCCCAGTCTTTCCAGTGCTGTGCATTTGCTGGGCACACTGGGATGGGCCTTTCATATCTAGGCCCCACACAGCATAGACCATGGGATGTATGCACACAATACACATCTAGTAATAAAGCATTCATTCCCTGATCACTTAGCCAGCGGGAGATGCCGCCATGCACAGGCCCTGAGCTGGACACTGGTTACAGGCAAATATAAGCTGTGGTCCCTGCTGTGAGCAGTTGCCACATTGGCTTTCTGATGCCAGCGTGAAGCACAGTGCATAGCACATAGCAAGCCCTCCATAAATGCTGAGCAATGGAGTACATGACTGAAAGAATGACTGCGTGAATGAGAGTGAAGTTCACCAGATTAGAGCAGTCAGCTCCTCCTGCCACTTGCTCCTTCTCCTATATCATGACCCTCACCCATCAACAAATATTTGTTGGGCATGTGCCATGTGACAGGCCTGATTTCAGGTGATGCAGATGTACTGATCCTGCTTGGCCCCACTCACTGCTGTACTCCCAGAACCTAGGATAAAGCATTTCAGCAAAGTGAATTCATTTAAACTCCAAGCCAGACAGAACTCCAGCCTCCAGGAGTGCCCCCCGCCCTGCCCCCACCAGGCCATGCCAGTCCAGCCCTTCTCCCCAGGGGAG